GACCTAACTCCTACCACCAAGAAACCAGACATCTTCCCTCCGGCGGACAGCAGGTGGCAAAAGAAGGCCACCGGAAAGGTAAGAGGCAATCCGACAAAGATCAACACTATGCCGATTACCGACTCCAGGGTGATTAGGGAAGAGAAAGCAAGGGAAGCCTTACTGACGGACCTGGACACAATTAGAGAGCAGGTTGAAGAGGAATACAACAAGAACCCAGATTCTTTCAAGGAGGCACTGAAACAAGCAGAATTACAAACCTACAAAAGAAAGGGCCAAAGCCCAGCCAGTCCATAAACGCCAATTACACGAAGGGGGCAAGGCCGGGGAGAAAGAATCGGGCCTGAAAAGAAGAAGGGCCGAGGGACCAGCAGGGGAACGGGACAACAACAAACCAGGAGCGGATAACGAGGGTGAGGAAATGGACTTTGATGCGGCTGGGGAGCAGGCTGATGACGAAGCAGATCCCAAGCCGGAGTCCGGCCCCGCGGAGGAGGATGAGCATGAGCGGGAGGAACAGTACCTAGTGTGGATAAGACATTATGTGGAGAAAGCGAAAAGAGAGAGGGAACACGCTTTCGATGTACGGGTAGCATGTTTGAAACACGCGGAATGATCCCAAGCGAATGGGAAGAAGAACGTAATTGCTGGAATCAGTAATTCACCCAATCAGTTCGCAGCCCTTCTGAAAGTTAAGGCGGATGAGTTCTCCGAGTATGCAGCCTTCAGGTATGCAGAAAAAAAGAGGGCAAGAGAACAGGGAACGGAAGACAAAGACAAAACAATTCCCGCAACCAAAGATATCTTCCAAGATCAACGCCCCAAGACGAGGAAGACAAGTAAGAACCAGAAAAAAAGGGAATCCAACGAAGAGCAAGGGGGGGAGGAAGATAAACCAGAGCGGGATCTGTTGGAAAAGGAAATTGCAGTCGTCCTGTCCCAAACAGAGAAACTGAGAAAATGGAACAGAGAATACGCCCCAGAATACACAATGATTGCACAGATTGCAAAGGGGAAAGCACCCATGGTTGTGGAAGCAGCCAATGCAGCCCGCAGAACATTGAGGAACATCAGACCGCTCATCGCAGCCAGGTATGACCCCAAAGTGAAGGAATGGTTAGTGGCAACCGACGTAGCCTTCCAAATTCCATACTTTGTAGAAGGGGAAAACATTGTTAAGGCCTTAAGAAACCATGTCACCTTCGATGTCCCTCTGGGTCTGTTTGAGACGGTGGCTTTAGAATCAGACATGGAGGACACCGAATCCCAAGAGTGCTCAGAGAGCAATCCCAAAACCAAGGAGCTAGCTGGCAGGAAGTCCCCGAGGGCCTTCTCACCCTTGATTGCCAAAATGCCGGAAGAGACGCAACTGCATTCAGGGATGAGATGGAGACCATGGCGGACGGTGGCTGAAGTTCCTTACAGCATTCTGGCTGGCCCAGGAGTGTCTGCGGAGTTGATGGCCACTTCAGTGGCCAGCATCGTGGAGGCAGAGCAGCTAGATGGGGATGAAGAATTGGACATGAGAGCATATGCACTAGATGATGAGAGGTTTTACATACGTGAAGGATCAGAAGGTGATGCAAGGGACGACGATGACGAGTGGGAGAAGATGGACAGGCTGATCGATTTGGAAAAAAAGGGAAAGGGACAGGTGGACACTGAGGGGAGAGGAGGGGAGGAGCTGGGCAAGGCGACCTCAGAGGGGAGCTCCGACGCCGTGTTACAAGATGACAAAGGAAGGCAAGAGGAGAGAGAAGACAGCCTTGGGGCTGACACATCCTCTCCCCCGCCCACCTAAGCAAATGAGCCACAAGCCTAGACAGACAACGGACTCAGCCCGGTGGTTTCGATGGAGGGGTTTAGGAATAGAGCGAATGAGGTAGGGAAACAGGTGGATTGGAGGAGTCAAGGTCTGGTCCTTAGAAGCTGGAATGTCAATGGACTTGGAAATATAATGGAAAAGGAAGAGAAATGGAATGATATATGGGCTGGACTGTCACAAGGCAGCAAAAGGACTGCTGACGTAGTGATGTTCCAAGAAACCCATCTCTCCCTTTCAATTGACCACAACAGAATACGTAGGTTCATTGCAAAAAAATAAGGCGGCCTGGGAGACGAAGTTTGGGCGGCGGATCCAGATTCCAGCACAAAGGGAACGGCCATCCTGATCCCCAAGGCCTCCCGATTCTACCAAGCAGGCACGGTGATTGACAAGAGGGCAGACCAGAGGGAAGGGAGATGGTGCTTATTTCACATGAAGTGGAAAGAGGAAGAATTCGTACTCCTCAACATCTACGCCCCAAACTCTCCTACGGAGCGTGCAACGTTTATAAGATAATTAAGTCAACTGTTCCCCCCACTGACCCCGTGCATTATAGCGGGAGACTGGAATGCCACAATTGAGCCGACAATAGACCGTATATCCCGATCTGCCAGTCTATCCAGCTCAATGGAAGTTGTTCCAATCCAGGAACTGATGCTGGACCACGACTTGGTAGACCCCCTCAGGACGATGCACCCCGACTTAAGAGCCTTCACCTTGATCAAGAAAAATAACGCCAATCATACCGCTTTCTCCCGGATAGATTTCTTTCTAGTGTCAAAAGTCTTGATGGGAGCCACCAAGGAGGCAAAGATCCTTCCTCTAGCACCATACCCGGGGCTAGATCACAAGCCGATCGAACTAGTATTGGGCTTCAACCAAATGGTCACGAGAGGGGCCAGCTTCCATAAGCTGAATAATTCTCTCCTATTAAGTCAGACCTTTCAAAGTGAAGTGTGCAACTGTTGGGAGGGTCAGAGACTCTCACGCCTAAGCAATGAACCACGATGGGAATGGTTCCAGAAGAGCTACGCAAATCTCTCAGAAGCGGTGGCCAAGGTCTCAAGGAGACTGGCCTCAATAAGGAAGCAAAGGAAACAAGCACTAGAGTTCGCATTGAAAGTGGCTGAGATTAATCTGACCAACAACCCTGCCTCCCCACTGTACAGCGAGGTTTTCGAGAAAACCCGTGAAGAATTAGCCATGTGGAGGTGGTTGGAATTGAAGGGACTACAAGTAAGAGCAAGAATGTGTGAATTTGAACTCAGCGATTCGATGACGAAATACTTCTTTGCGCGAATAAAAGCCAACTCGAGAGTCAGTGCAATAGAGGGGCTGAAATCCCCCGCTGAGCCAGAAGTAGTAAGATCAGACAGTGAAGGAATACTAGAAATAGCCAACAACTTCTACAAGGAACTCTATCAATGTAAGACACCGGGACTACCGACGGTCCAGGTGAGAGACGCGAGGCGGAAAATGCTGCACTATCTCGAGCCAACGATTTCAACGGAACAAGCTGAGGAATTAGACAAGCCTCTCTCGACGGAGGAGCTACACCAGGCGCTCCTGACAATGAACAATAATAAAACCCCCGGAATCGATGGACTAACTAAGGAATTCTGGGAAAAATTCTGGCCTCTCATGGGGACTGACTTGCAGAACTTCTACACTGACAGCTGGTCTAGAGGAGGGCTGGGCAACTTACTCAGCAGCAGCATAGTCACGCTGCTCTACAAAAAAGAGGAGAAAGAAGACATAAGGAACTATAGACCTATCTCACTACTGACACGCCCGTACAAGATCTTGGCCAAGGCCTTGTCCAACCGGATCACTAAAATCACAAGCAAATGCTTCCACATTGACCAAACAGGTTTCATCCCTGGACGCTACATCCTTGACAACGTAATGACACTTAATGAATCGGTAAGGAAAATCAGGGAAAGGAAAATCAACGCAACCATCTTGTTTTTCGACCTTGAGAAAGCTTATGACCAAGTCAACTGGGATTTTATGGAGGAAAGCATGGAAAGAATGGGCGTGGGACCAAACTTCAGGAAGTGGGTCAGGATACTATACCGGGACGCGGTAGGTTGCGTGCAGGTAAACGGGTTTTTATCCGAATCCTACCCGATCTCCCGGTCAGTCCGCCAAGGGGACCCATTGGCCCCATCAATTTTTCTCTTCGTAATGGAAGCAATCGCTTCCTTCCTACGCAAAGACCCCTCTATACAAAGACTGKCCAGCACAGAAGTGGGTACARCCCACMRGGTGGACTTTCCCACAGCCATCATGTTTGCCGATGACCTGACGGTTCTGGTCAGGGCTTCGGACTCCTCCTTCAGAACTCTAGCCAGAGCAATGGAGGCGTTCAGACTAGCTTCAGAAATGAGGATTAATTGGGGGAAAMYRATAGGATGGTGGCTCTCCGACGACGAACCCCTCTCTCTTCAGGGAGAAGAGGCGGCCATGACATGGCAAACGCCTGCCACGCCTACCCGTTATTTAGGCATCTTGATGACAAAAGACGGGTTGGCAGCTCAAATGGGACCCTCAATGTTGACCAAACAGATCAACAAGATAGGGAGATTGGGCAACACGTTTACATCCCTCTTTGGTCGAGCGCTGGTCCTTAACACGTCTGTTTTCTCAATGATGTGGTACATAGCTTCTATCTGGACAGTTCCCGACAGCTCGGTGAAGGAGTTGAACCGTAGAGCCAGGCTTTATCTGTGGACAGGCGAACCCCACAAAGAAAAATGCATCCCTAAGATAGCCTGGCACTATGTCACAAGGAGTCCTAGGAACGGAGGCCTGGGCCTCATTGACCCGGGGACAGAGACCAAAGCCTTGCAAATAAAATGGATCATTAAACTGCTGACAAATCCAGACACCGCTTGGAACAAGTTGGCATTAGACAGCATCAGGGCGGTGGCCCCTACCCGCTCCCCACCCGACGTGTCAGGACTGTTCTGGGTCATGAATAAGGAATGGAGGATAACAACGGGACGCAGGAATCGGACTAGGAATAACAGACCAGAAGATGTCCGACCTCCCTCCCCGTACTGGCCGGTGCTGCTTCGACTCTGGAGGAGAATTTGTCCCACCAGGATCAACAGACCAAAGTCGAAAGACGAAATTCTCAGACAACCGCTTTTTGGTAATGAATGGATAACGAAC